ATTCAGCCTACGAGAACAGCCGTTTTGTCGTCAAAAAAATACAACTCATTTATGACAGTATAACTGATTCAGAATCTGCAACATTCAAACTATCTCTTGTATATACAACAGATTCAGAACAATTTGCTGATTATCAACATGAACTAGAACAGCCAATAATGGAAGTAGACAACGAGCAACAACCTTCTAACATTACGGCTGCTTCATAATATGGAATGCTGCAACAATTACCCGCCATTACAATAAATTCATACCAGTTTGTTGATGACCAAGAAGAAGAAGGACAGCTAATAATGCCAATAGACAACCAACGAAGATGAAGAAAATACGGAATTTATACCTAATATCAGATACAAATGAAGAAATTGCTGAAACTTCTACTGCTTCTAAGAACTCAAGAAAAAGAGTGAGGAGAAAGCTGAAAGAATCTCCACCATGTGAAGTACTTAGGCACGATGCATTGCTGGAGGAAGTAAGAGTAGGATCAATTTTTGAGAACAAGAAGAACATGACTAAATTTTTCTGCAGCTTGGAGATAACCAAAAAGTTGAATTCACTGCTCTTAGATCATGTTCAAAGAGATACGAGCTGAAATGCATCGTGGAGAAATGTGGTTGGGATGTACGTGCTACCAGAATAAAAAAATTCACACTTTTCTGGGTGATAAAATATCATAACAATCATGAATGCTCGGTTGATGCCAGAAAATCAGATCAGAAGCATGCTATATCAAATTTTCTAAGTGAACAAATTTTAGAACATGGACTCATTGAAAAAGTTTTAACTATGGAATAATTATTGGGGATTTTAGTAATAAAAGGGAAAGAAATAAATCAATTTAAATCCCTAAAATTATGAAAAAAATTATAAAAACCTTGTGCATGCTTATATATGCATGTATATGCTATTTTGAAGGTATTTATGTATATAAAAAATATATAGAAAAAAATTGGGTATCAACAACAAGGGCTACCCACAACAGAAAGGCCTTGATTACTAGGAGACCTTTTCTCCAGTTGTAAAAATGGTGACAATGAGGACTATCCTAGCACTGGCAGATATGCAAGGGTGGAAACTACATCAAATGGATGTTTCCAATGCCTTCCTGCAAGGTGATCTTGAGGAGGATGTCTATATGATTCCACCTCCTGGTCTTCTGCGCCAGGAGGAGCATCCACACGTGTGCAAACTGCAGAAGTCCCTGTATAGCCTCAAGCAGGCCTCAAGGCAGTGAAATCTGAAGCTCAGTGAGGCTCTTTTCTCATATGGTTTTGTCCAAAGCCACCATGACTATTCCCTTTTCACTAGGAAGTCTGGTACTGATTTAGTGATCATTTGCTGGTCTATGTTGATGACCTCTTGATCACATACTCTTCCTCTTCCCTGGTTCAGGAGGCCAAAATTATGTTACAACAACATTTCAAGATCAAGGACTTGGGGGAGATGAGATACTTCCTTCCTTGAAATTGCTAGAAGTCAGCAAGGGATCCTGGTCTGTCAAAGAAAATTCACATTGCAGACTTGGGACTTGGTAGATCAAAGCCTGCCAACATTTCTTTAGATGTCAATCAAAGACTTATGGTGTAGAGTTTGATCATGGTTGTCTTAGTGTAGGCAGTAATGATGAGCTTTTATCTGATCCTACAAGCTATCAAACACTAGTAGGGAAGCTGCTTTACCTTACCATGACTAGGCAAGATATTAGTTACATTATCCAAACTTTGAGCCAGTTCATGCATAAGCCCAAAAGAACGAAGGAGAATTGAGAGTAGTAAGCTACTTGAAAAATGCACCAGGTATGGGTATACTGATGTCTTCTAAGGCATCAAAACAGTTGACAGTACACTGTGATGCAGACTGGGCCACAAGTCCTATGACTAGAAGATCAGTAAGTGGTTCTGGGGTGAAGTTTGGAGAATCCTTGATCTCCTGGAAGTCAAAGAAGCAGAGCACAGTATTGAGAAGTTCAGCTGAAGCTGAGTATAGGATCATGGCAAATGCTATTGCAGAAGTAGTCTGGCTAGTTGGTCTTTTTGCAAAATTGAAGATAAAGCTAGAGCAACCTGTGAAGTAGTATTCTGATAGCAAAACAACACTTCAGATTGCTACAATCCTATCTACCACGAGAGAACTAAACACATAGAAATCAATTGTTATTTCATTAGAGAAAAGATTCAGGAAGGTCTTATACACACTGAACATGTTTCTTCCACAGTGCAATTGGCTGGCATACTGACCAAAGGTCTAGGAAGAACACAACATGAGTTCTTATTATCCAAGCTGGGAATGTTCAAGTTGTTCACATTACACAGCTTGAGGGGGAGTGTTAAAGATATCACTTTATAATAATCTAGTTGGACCTTAGCTGTTAGTTAGTTAGGTTGTTAGCGTGGGGGTAATTATGTAATTAGCCTATTAGTTTGTTACTTACAATATACTAGGGGCGGCCCAACGAGTTTTGTGGCCTAAAGCTAAACTTTATAAGGGGCCTTAACTTTTTTTTTTTTTTATAAAAAATATTTATTTATTTGAAGTCTATTTTTCTAGCGTATCTTAGACACAAAGTTATTAATAATTATTTTATAATTAATAACTCCTAATAATTCTTTCTTAATTAATAATATAGCTAATCCATTTAATCTTTATTGATACATTGTTTATCTTAGGTGTGATTTTATCAATTTTAATTTTGAAAGTTTCTTTCCGCTGAAACGAAGAAAACAAGAGATATTACCATTATTCCATAAGAAATATAGGCATTGAAAAAGAATCAATTTTTTTATTTGACTGAGTGTATCAATTAAACTGTTATAATCTAGTTGTACTATTTTTCTTAATATTTTTAATTTCAAAAATAAATCTAAACCATCAATATCGAATTGATTATTATGCTTTAAGGAACATTCAAGATTAAGACAATATTTTTTTTTTCAAATTTTCATCATCTAGTGATCTTAATTTTTACCGCTAAATAGAAAACCAAATATATTTTCATATGCTTCGAATTGTTCAAATCTATTTTGAAGTGAAAAAATAGCCTTGTCTACTATGTATAAATTGATCAATTCCAAATGACTCTTCGAAAGATTTTGAGATTTTATTATCAATATTCTCATCAAATTGTTACTTCCTACATATCATACGCTTCTTACGAAATTCGGTTTCGATATTCATTTCAAGTGTAATTTTCTTGGCAGAAATCATAACAGTTGCAAATCCTTCTTCTCTATACTTGTTAAAGAAAACAATCAAACTTTTTCACTTCACATAACATTTTTGTAAACTTATACATAGCCTATTAGGTGTAACAAAAAGTGGGCCCCCCATAAATGTGGGGCCTAAAGCAATTGCTTTATTTGCTTTATCAAGGGCCGCCCCTAAATATACACAATATTGTATAGTGTTATTTCTTAATGAATGAAGAAGAAAAGGGCTTCGTCTCTGCACTTCGTCTCTCTCACTTAACTTAACTGTGAAGTTTCTATGGCAGCCACTTAACATTCCCTAATACTTCTTTGCAAATTTGCATTTTGTACTTGCATAAATAATCAATCTGCATAGTTACTAATGCTCTTTCCTTATTTTCCTTATTTCACTAGACCAACAAAGGGTGTGAATAAAGAGAAGTCTTGGCGCAACGGTTAGAATTATTCTCGTGTGACTAGTTTCAAGCTATCAAAATAATCTTTTGCAAAAATGCAAGGTATTGCTACGTATAATACATCCAATGTGGTCCGGCTTTTCACGAACTCGTATGTAACGACAAGTAATGTATCGGGCTGCCAGTGGACATTGTAGGAACCAATGGCAAAAGTTTTTCGGGGAGCGGATCATGAATTGGGAGAAAGCGAAGCAAGAACAGGGAGGGAAGGACTTGGGTAAAATTTAAATCCCACACTACTTGAGTGCGCATGAACTTTATGATCACTAGACCACAATTCTAATCTCACGGCAAAAGAGCTCCTTTTGCTGTTGGTGAAACTTTGTATGTCCCTTTTTTCACCTTGGAACTATAATAATTTCCCTACAATGCTTCTTTTTGTTTCCGCACTATTTTAATTATTTTTTGCAGGTGCCAAAATATGGTTGCTGGCTTGCAATGGTGCATCGTAACTGTCTGATGTTGAATTAGGGGATGTCTTCTGGAAAAAACGTATACTATGTGACCTTACGGTCTACTTAATGGGGAAAATAGAGTTAACTCTTAGCTCCCATGCTCCCTCTATTTGCTATTCTCCGCCGTCTAGTCTAACAACTTGTTTGGCCAAGCTTCTAAAATCAGCTTATTTTGATAAGTGCCCTTTATTAAAAGTGCTTTATTCAAAAGTACTTTTAGTGAGAAGAGCAATTTGTGTTCGGTTAATTAATTTGAAAAGCACTTTTGAGCAGGAATTAGCGTTTGGCCGAACTTTTAGAAAGTACTTCTAAGTGCATTTTTCTTTGGGTACTTTTTTTGCTTCTACTCAAAAGCAATTTTTTCTTCTTCTAAAAGTTTGGCCAAACACTTTAACTTTAAAGAAAAAAATACTGTTGGCCTTGGAGAAGCTTGACCAAAAAGGCTATAAACTTATGTCGCATGCCTCCTACAGATGTGTTCTTGAATATGAAAACAAGATTGCCTGTCTACTCTCTAATCACACAATGCTAGATTCTTGGTCAACCAGGCTATGCTCCACATCATTTTATCCAATCACAAATGTGTGCCATGCAAACCAGAAATTCCCTTTGATGATTTTCACAAGTATCAAGCAGAAAAATACCCAATGTGTATATGTTGCAAGAGTTTTAACTTTTATACACACAGTATAAGCTGCTGAACACTAACATGCAGCCACTGACAAGGTCTAAAATTTCTCTGTGATACCAAACAACAGCAGTGCAGATTAGGAAACATTCATTCACCACCAACAAACTCCTCTTCCTCCCCCCCCTACCCCCCCCCCCTCCCCAAAAAGAGATTTAAAAAATGTAAAGCTAAAAAAAAAAAAAAAACACAGAAGAAAGCGTTCCAAGATCCGATTATTTGTATAAAGTATATTCTATTTAATATTGTTTACAACAAAAAGAAACTCTCACCAGATAGGCTACACGTCCTTTCTTCCCCTGAGTTCTCACACTCCAACAATGCTCCATCCTAGCAAGTGATAACTTCAGCATAAAGGAATTGCAAATGCCATGTCAATACAGGGCAAGTAGGTGAAACGTTGGTAGAGCAGGAAACCATGACCGGATTCACGTGCCCTCGCATTCCGGGAACAATACTCTATATTCGCACATACTTCTTTCCTGCAGTATAACCCGCTACTGCTGATCTCGAAGCAAACAATATATCGTACATTCAGAGAAGTCTTCACTCTCGCGAAGAAAACTGTCAACTCATAACATCACCTGCTTCTTCTCTATGAAGATCTATCACAAAGAAATCTAGTTTCAATAACTTTGTTTCACTATATGCATTGCCTTGAACGAAAATTGTCATTTGATAAGAGAGAGCCTAGCAGAATTTCCAATCTCCTTGCCCCTGCAGTAGGTCTGAGGGATGTGATATTACCCACTACGGAGCATGGATCTGTCCCATTCTCCCGATTCCCTATGCACCAGCCACCAGGGACAAACATGTCTTGACCTCGAAACAGAAGTTCAGAATCAATCTTGTCAAGTACTGGATCATCTTGATGGAACTTTCTCGCAAATGGGGCATTACTGTCAACCATTCTTTGCATGTCATCAAGAGTAAGGTAATGAGGATGCTGCTTTGGAGGGTTATCCCACGATATATAGTGCAGATCACTGTTTACTGTGGTATTGCGGAACTCCTGAGCATTACAGACGACAGTGTGGAAATAACCTTCCGGAGTTGAGATGAAGTTTGCATAGTACATAAGTACAGTTCGAGGCAAGTTGTCCCAACCCCATATGCAGAAGTCAATGAAGGGTCGAGAAAGGGCCGTCCAAGCGGACCCTGTAAAGAGGCAAGAACAATGTTTTAGAAATTTTGTGGAGTCTAACAGCAATAAACTAGACGAGGAATAAATGAAGCAGTTGTTCCATATGTTAACTCTTGCTCATGATCTTGTCCCTTCCAGCCCCCGTCAGAGTAATCATTAACAAAAGTAAAGGAATAAATGACAAATTTCCTTAATTAAGAACACTCCTTTCAAAGTCCAAACTTCATGTCACATAGAAATATAAATCTGCTACAAGCTTATGTAGAATTTAATAGATGAGCCTTCAAAGAATTTACTTATAAACACCTGATAATCTTCAAACAATGAGTACATCAAAATACAATCAGATGAAAAATAAAGGGAAAATTTCACATTAGAACAACTGGGCTTCATACTTTTCAATTTTATAGCCCATATTTCAATTTACAACCTACTAGCCCATAAATAATAGGCTAAGATTCAACATCCAACTCCAATAGGTTCTCAAAATTACTATTTAATTTTTAAAAAAGATTCCTCAAGCTTTTAAATTACTTTTCGAATCAGTAATTGTGACTCAAATATTAATTCAACAAACCAACTTCATTTGGGTGGTGAAAATTAGATTTTTAACAAGCTTAAATATGCGGGTTTAAATTTCGAATTTGATTTTATGAAAAATTTGGAGTGGGTGTTATTTAGACTTGTTAGAAATAGTATAAGGAGGTTGTATATAAAATTTGAAGTCATTTAATGGAGATTTGGATTGGTTTTGAATAAGAATTGCAACTGAAAATCGTGGAAGAAGTTCGTCTACAGACGCTTGTATAAAGGTGTATAAAAGTGTATAACAGTGTATAAGGTGTGTTTCTACACTCATATACAATATTATACAAGATTATACATAATTATACAAAAAACTGACTTCGTCTTCTTTCTTGCGTCTTTTCTGAAATTTAATTCAAATCTTGCTCAAATCTACTCCAAATCACTTCAAATTTAAATTTTGTACTCCTTTTGATATTTTCAATCAATTGGAAAAATACCCAATCCAAACAACTAACAAATTCAAAACAACCCATTTTCAAAAGCAAAGCTTTGAATGATCTTCAATGTTGGACTTCTACTCTTCAATTTTCTTTCATTGCAAGCAGGTGACACAAGAGGAGAAGCAGAAAATACACGGTCCTTTGAAGCATATGTAAAAGATGTGAGAAGAAGAGAGAGTGAAAGCAATAGTTGTGAGAACAAAGAATTAACTCCATAGCTTTTAGAAGCAATTGTTGTAAAAACATATATTTTGAATTTGCAAGTGCTTTCAAAATATGCACAATGTGGGCTAGGTGGGGTAAAACTTAAAAACATGGGCCATTTTTTGTTATGGTGTGAAGTCATGTGTATTTTCTTGTAATTCTTTGAAAAATAAACCATTTATCAGGTCGTCAAAGTGATCACTACTCGAATAAACAATGTAAATTTGCTCCTAATAAAATGTGTCAGTACAAAGATTTAAACATTTTCTTGGTTGAAACTGTCCATCACACTGTATAGCACATGAAAATCCAAGCTCATACCAAATGGCATATACAATATAGGACACAGGGTATGAAAACCCAGAGCTACAAGAAAGATGTGTGTTTTCACTAGGTTGGCAGCAAGGAAGAGAAGGATCACCTATACGAGGTGGCACTTTATGTGCGAAAATTCAAGAACTAGGGCTAGGACATGGATCACCTCCTTTTACATTGCCAGCTAGCAATACACTTGTGATGGGAGATTTTGAGATGGTTCGGGATACAATGGACAATGCTAGGCACTGTTGAGTAGGGCTTATGGAAAACTTTTCCAGAAGAGGACAAGCAAGAGCGTGGGATGTTCCCCTATTGGCACTCATATGGATTATATGGAAAGAGAGAAATAGGAGAATTTGAGATGGGATAAAGAATGACTTACTGCATTTTAGAAATAGCCTCTTATTCCGAGTTATCTTTTGGTGCATCCCTGAGGTTCCAATTTGTATAGAGAATTGGTAATCTTTCAACGATGATTATATCCTTTTGTAGATTCTTTACTTTTTTTTTTTTTATACTACTTGTATGTGAGAGTTGTTCACAACATTAATAAAGTTATTTACCTAATCGAAAAATTGTATATAGGAGCTGTTCCTGTGTTACTCCCTCCATCCAAAATTTATGTGGCATTGTTTGACTAGGCACAAAGTTTAAGAAAAAAGAAAGACTTTTGAAACTTGTAGTCTAAAAATATTTGTGTGGCTATAATCACCTCTTTAAGGTAGAATGAGAAGCTTAAATTAAATTGCTTCTAAATATATAAAGGTCTCGTTCTTTTGGAACAAACTAAACAGTAAAGTGCGCCACATAAAATGGGACAGAGGGAGCATATATTATCAAACAACTTTCTAATCCACTTCCTCCAATCCAACCTGTAACATGCATAATATAATGCTGCGGGACAAAACTTAATGTGTGTAAATTTTAATCTATCAAAGTTTGCTCATCCAGCATGTTGCCTGAGACAGAAGTCAAAGGCAAAATTCTAACTGCACTAGGCACAACAGTCGAACTTGTTTATAGGATGAAATGTAAATCCTCAAGCATCTCATCCATTCATAAGAAAACAGCATTCCCCATCCAACGGGGTTTCCCTATGTAGTAAAAATTAAAACTCTACCAGCGAGTCCGAATTTGGGTTTACTGGTGCAAGACCACAGCTAGCACACAGAGGCAAATGGAGCTACACATATACAGAGGAACTGTTGTATATTTTTCTGCTAAGTGAATTTGATCTGTCAATTTTTCAAACTCTACCTAGCAAAAACCTCATCTATCAAGATATTTTACTATAGAAAGAATTCAAGACAATTCATTATAGCAAATGGCGGGTTGGAATGCAATCAACACGGCAGCATATGTGAAGCATAACACGGGCAAAAGAGTTCAAATCTTTCAGCCTAAACACAGAAGTAAATGATAGCAAAAAAACCTGTAAAAAGCTTAAAAGCTGTTGGCACACTTCTTCTCTGTCTAATCCAGAAAACATCAGATTTCTTATTCAAATACAACCCCGGATCAACAATGATTGGCTTTGCCCTTTGAAACCTTCAGAAATATAAACCAAAAAAAGAAAAAAATCAAAAATCACCCAAGTAATGCTTTATATTACATCCAAAATAAGGAAAAATGGAAACTTTGCTTACTCTTTCCAGCCAATATCACTAGTATGATCAATGAAGTTAAGATCCCGCGGTATATGCGAAAATGTATGAATTAGATCTAATCAACCAAAAGAATTCAACAGCCAAACCCCATTAGTAAAAGATTCAACAATAACCAACTGAAAATCTCAATAAGCATAATTAGAGGCGAATCCAGGACCAAAAATCAGTGAGTTCAGAATGAGTGTAATAATAGTACATGAATATAATTTAAAAAGTTTTAGCATCTGAATGTATATAGTTTGAACAGAAAGCAATGGGTTCACAATTGAACTCACAGAACCCCTTCAAAATCTGCCTCTTAGCAAAATTCACAAGAAAAAAGGGGCTCACACTCACCATCTTGAGTAACAAGTGGGTAATCAGAAGCACTTAAATTAATAAACCAATCCCATTCACCACCTTCTTTCAACAACATAGCAGCAGCATGTAAAGTATTAGCCACCATAGTGGGCCCACGGTAAGTAACAAGATTAGCTTTACTAATCATTTTTACATTCGTGAATTTAGCAAAAATTTTGTGATTAACCACAAAATTATGCAAATCAAGTCTCTCATCAGCTGATGACTCAGCATCAAGGTGCACTACATAATGGTTATTGGGGTGGTACAGAGCTTGAAGGGTCCGTTTCAGCATGCCGCCATCGCCGGCGGAGCCGGAGATTAAGTAGGCGAAACGAGGAGGCGGGGGAGCGGCGGAAATAGGTAAAGATTGAAGCTTTGATTCGACGAAAATGGAAAGGGGTATTAAAGGAGTGCCATTTGGTGAAATTAAGGTTGTAAGGAATACGATGAAAATGGAAACAATTGAGGCTATTGCAAGTGGATAGATCCATTTGCTTTCCATTATTGGTGGGTGTTTGAGTTTTTTGTAAAAGCTTCTCAGCTTCTTCATTTACTATAACTTTTTTGGACTAAATTTGAGTAAAGATGTGTTTTTTGATGAAATTTCAGTGATGGGTTTAAGAAGAAATTAGGGAACTTGATCTAAGAAGAATGAATTCAAAATGGAGCTATTCAAAATTTGTGTTACTTTGATGAAATTTGATAGGAAATGGAGTCTTGTAATAATTTCTAGATGTATGATATTACAGAGTTTGCTCAAGAGTTGTAATAGTGGTAGGTGAACGGGTGGAAAAGGAGGGCATGTTTGCTGGTGTGGTAGGACATTGGAGGTAGGGGCTGTGTTTGTATCATTTAAATCATTTACCATTTACACACTTCATGTGTCCATTAACCAGATCAAATAAATATTCGAGTGCAACAGATCATATACGTGTGTTACACTTGCTAATGACGTGTCAGATGAGCCAATTAATGAATGACACGTGTAATTTATGATAAAATTTGACACATATAATAAACAAATATGAAAATGCATTTAAGGAATAAAAAAAAGCCTTTTTCCTAACTTTTTTACAAAACCAACGCAACCCCTCCTCCCCCCCCCCCCCAACGAACTTCATCTTCTTCTTCCGCCCACCAGCGTCACCCCACCCCTTTCATCTTCTTCCTTCAAATCCACCCTCCATTTAATAAATTGAACATAAGTCATCCCTATCAGACCCCTTCCCCTTTCCACTAAGTGATTAGTGACGGAACTCGTCGGAAAAAGCTCCTCTCATGAGACCTCTCTCGCCGGAAAATTAATCTCCGGGCAAATCTGAACGAATGAGTTGGGTTTGGAACTAGTTTTGGCTTGAAGGAATTAATCTCCGAGCAAATCGCCGGAAAATTGCTATAATTTTTGCTGCTTATCAGTTGGGTTTGGAACTAGTTTTGGCTTGAACGAACTAATCTCCGAGCAAATCGCCGGAAAATCGCCGGAAAATTGCTGTAATTTTTGCTACTTATCAGTTGGGTTTGGAACTAGTTTTGGCTTGAAGGAATTAATCTTCGAGAAAATCGCCGAAAAATTGCTGTAATTTTTGCTGCTTATCAATCGGGTTTGGAACTAGTTTTGGCTTGATGGTTTCGGAGGCCCCATTACTCTCAAGCTGAGAACATTTTAGTATTTCATCAGCATGGAAACTTCAGCTTCACCATGGTGGACTTTAAAGAAATGTTTAGCTACAGAGCTAATGTCTAATTTTGCTTCTGTAATATCTTGTCAGAACTATTTTTTGAAAATTTACAATAAAAAATGATTTTTGTTGCTGAAGATGTTCAGGTGGTGTTGTCATCGGCAGATAATGTTGAAACTAGGTGGCGAATAGTGTTTATGGATGATTGAATGAGAAGCTGAGGCGGTGAAAATGGCAGAATAATTTGAGATGATTTGCAGATGGGTTTGTTTGGGCAGAAGGTAGGATGATTTGGAGAAGAAAGGGTGAGGAAAAGTGGGCTCCACCAGTTAAATTAAAAAAAGAAAAAGAAATAAACATAATTTTGAAAAGCTTCACTTGGTGCAAGGCGAGTGTACTACACACATTTTGCCATGTCACTTTGAAGGGTTTAAGTGATACACTGAAAAATAACTTGAGGTGTCTACTTGATAAATAGGTCTGTTGAGGTGTTCAAATGACCGTTGTGGACAACTTGGAGGGGCCATTTATGTATTTCGCCAAAAGAAGAAGAACAAGAACAAGAAGAAGAAGAAGAAGAAGAAGATTTTAAAACTTGTAATAGTAAACATATCAAAATATTTATGTGAGTATAAAAGCTTCTTATTAGAATTCTAAAGAGTTTTCTTATTAAGAATGAGTTTATTCTTTTCGAAGCGTACTAAATAAGAAATAAGTTCACATAAATTTAAACGGAGGGAGTATATCTTTTGTGTTTAAATTATTTGATTTGATGTAAACAAGGGGTAAGTTTTATCGTGTTATATTGTGTGTTTATTGTTTTTGGTTGGGTGTATGTTATATACATTGATATGTGAAGAACTTTTGTCATACGCGACCAGCACCATCGCAGATGCGAAAAGCAAATTCTCCCTGGTGACCAGCTCCGCAATACTCCGCGATCGCGACCACCAGCTCGCAAATGCGATGTACAAAATACAGCCAACCAAAATCCTTCTCTGCGATCGCGAACCTCTGCTCCACGATCGTGAAGCACTACAATACACCAGCAACTCAACTTCTACAAACTCAACCAAAATGGTCCGAAATTATCCCGAATTACACTCGAACCTTCCAATATCCTGTCTAATCATTCCATAAAGTCCATATACTTCCTACAAACTTGTCGCAGTGCTCGAAAAATCAAAAACAACAACAAAACCAGGAATGGAAGATCAAATCTATCTCTTAACTTTTAAACATTCTTACTTCGTCAAATGCGACTGAATCACACGTAGACATTCCGGAGTGCAATCAAACTTTGCACACAAGTTGATATAAAAAATTAGGACCTGTCTAAGGTCTGAAAACCACAATCAAAGCTCATTAGCCCAAATATCAACTACCGATCAAACTTAAGAACTCTCCAAAATTTCAAATTGACAGCTTTTGACAAATAGAGTCAAAATCTCCAAGAAGAATTGAAATATACAAGTGTTTATCATTATCCACCATTGTCAGAGGAATCAGTGAAGAAATCTCATCCCTGTCGGGTGAACCGTGTTCCTATATTTAAATAAATTCCATTTATTATCATTTATTGCTATTTTTCACATTCTTGAAACATTTATTGCTCCATTATTACTCCAAGATATTGTTATTTAACAGCATACGTTCGATAGTCATCACGAATTGTTATATAAATATAATTAAAATAAACCAATGGAGTAAACTCAAGTAATATAATCTATTAAGAAATCTGAAACGAGTAGACAAGGCGTTTCCAGGAAACTATCTTTAGGATAGTAATTTTCCCACACGGTGCAAATGGTTAAAGGAAAATCTATCCCCAGGATACAATGCCTACTCTAGAAATCAAAGTTGCACTCTTTGATTTCCCAACCACAAGAACTCAACCCAAAAGAATGAAGGATTTGGGAGAATGTAATTGACGAAGATTTATAGAGAGATGTTGTATATATAATTGCTTAGAAGTTATTTAGAATCCTGTAGAATACCCTTTATATAGACAAGGTTTATGACCTTTGCCAATGGGTACTTCATTTAAATTTAAACTAGCAGTTAACAAAGAGTTAGTTACTCATAGAAAAACACATCAGTTAGTTTCACAGAAGGCAACGATTGTATTCAAATTTAAGATAGTTATTTTTCTTCTGTTTGTTTAAAAAAATATTATTAATAAATAATACATATATATTATTTTATATATAACAATCCCCCCTCTTATTATTTAATAATAATATGCGGACACAAAATAAAGGAAGGATGATATTGGGTATTTGTATAACACATAACTAAAGATAGCTAACTAGCTTTGAACCTTTAGAATGAATATGAATATAAATCCATATTCGTATCATACATGAGTTCTTGTTCTGCAATGGCGGCGCCGATTAATATGGGCCTTGCGCTCAATCCTGTTTAGCAAGTACTCTAGGATTCACCATTAAATCCATAAAAAGCGGCCTCTCACTTTTATACTTGCATAGGCAGTCTCATCAAGAGTGTCCACAACCGCTCTAACACTCCTCTTTAATCTATGAAACTGTTAAGAACAAAGTTCAGCCTTCTCGTTGTGGAAATCAGTGCATATAGTCAAACATGGAACTTTAAAGGAATAGCAATTTATTTGTATTAATCACCCCCACTATTCCTTGAGTATATTTATGCACCGGAAATATAACCTCGGCGTTAATATTTCTTGACAACTTATCCTTGAACGCTTAGAATATGAATTTCCAGTTAAAACTGACATTCATATGAAAGAGTAGACGTCATTCAAGACTGCCTTTATTAAAATGGTGATAGTCCCATGTTTCCCATGACTTTCTCAATTTTCTCACCTGATAAAGGTTTTGTGAGAGGATCTGCCAACATCTGATTAGTTGGAAGATATTCAACAGAAATTTTACCTTTCTTCACAAGACTTCTCGCATGATTGTATCTCATGGCAATATGCTTGCTATTGCTAGACATCCTCTCATTCTTTGCATTGTGAATTGCAGCTTGGTTATCACAATATAAAGTAATAGGTCCTTTAGGAATATTAATAAATGGTATGCACTTCATGAATCTCCTAATCCATAGAATATCTTTGCTAGCAAGAGATAAAGATATAAATTCAGATTCCATAGACGATAGTGCAACACAAGATTGTTTCTTAGAGGACCAAGCCATTATAGCTCCTCCTACCGTGATAACCAGCCACTAGTAGACTTAGAGTTGCTTCTATCGGAAGCCCAGTTGGCATCACTATAACATTCCAGAACAGAAGAAGTACACTTATAATGTAAACCATAGTTTGATGTATGCTTCAGATATCTCATTAATTTGATAATAGCTTTCCAATGCTCATGACTAGGATTGCTAGTAAATCTACTCAGCATACCAACAACACATGCAATGTCTGGTCTAGTACTATTCATCACATACATTAAACTACCAATTATCTTAGCATACTCTCCTTGATTAATAGGTTCATTGGCGTTAGGCATTAAATTAATATGAGGATCAAGAGGAGTTTTACTAGGTTTACAATCTACAAAATTAAATTTTTTAAGCAACTTCTCAATATAATGTGACTGTGTAAGAACAAATTCATTTTCTTTTCTAATCACTCTAATACCTAATATCACATCTACAGGACCTAAATCTTTGATATCAAAGATTTGCATAAGAAATTTTTTGGTTTCATGAACACATGCTATGTTAGAACCAAATATAAGTAAATCGTCAATATATAAAGTAATAAGAACTTTATGATCGTCATTGCATTTATAAAAAACATAATTTTCTGCTTTACTACATTTAAAGCCAATAGATCTTATCTCCTTTTTGAACTTTTCATACCATTGTCTAGGTGCTTGTGTAAGACCATATAAAGATTTATTGAGTTTACATACCTTGTGTTTTTCTCCATTCACGACATAACCTTCAGGTTGTTGAATGTAAATTTCTTCATCTAACTCACCATTGAGAAATACTGTTTTGACATCCATCTGATGTACTTCCAAATTATACATGGAAGCAATAGCAAACATGACTCTAATAGTAGTAATGTTAGTAACAGGAGAAAATGTTTCAAAGTAGTCAAAACCTTCTTTCTGGCTATAACCTTTTGCTACTAATCTTGCTTTATATCTATCTATACTTCCATCAGCTTTAA